AAAAATTCAAATTCAGTCATCAATTACACACTCTCATGTTGATCCGAAAACATTCGTACATCTTCCAAACACAACTGAAGATATTTTTGAAATTTGAGAGCTCGAAAGAGAGTCAGAAATTCCACCAAAACTTACAAGCTTCAAAAGTGATCCATATCCATAATTTCACGCATCAGTGATCCATATCCACAATTGTTTGATATAATTAATAGATTTTTTATTCAGACATAAACGTTGATCGATGCACGTTCGAAGAGCACATCAACAATCCAAAATTAATTGTACGTGAAATAAAGCGATTGTGTCACTTTATAGGACTTACATTACTTAGTCGGGCAAGCCTTAGCCTTAATGACAGCATATAGTCTCCTGGGCATGCTGTCATCCAGCTTCATGAAAACCTCAACTTCATTTTTTTGGTCCTAAATTTGTATCAGTTTTGCTAGTAGTCCACTGTATGAAGAATTTTTGGGTATACTTTGTCACAATTTACTTTATTTTTATTGCAGTAATATGAATGTTTTTACTGTGTTTTTGATCAAATAAATCGGAGACTTCTTTCAAAAACATGAAAATCTTACCGACCCCAGAACTTCTTTAGGGTGTGTATATAATGACAAAATGTTAATATGTTCTGTCCTCTTCTTCAGCACCGGAGCCGAATACTTAGATGAGCAGTTAAGTAACGAAGATGCTGTTTCTTATGTAATCTGGCAGAACGCCGTTTCTGTTATCTAAGTAGTATGCATTTTATTTGAGGTCAGAGGGAAGATGTTGACAATATAATCCATTTTTGTATTTTATGTGTTTAGGGTATGTCCATGATAAATATTCCTATTCGTTATAAATCTGTGAAAGCTGTTCCTCAGCTTTTCTACATGTGAATGTTTGGCGGTGTCGGAAACAATGACTGACAACCGTAAGTGCTTTGAGGTCTATATTTTTTACCGGGCCTGTATAAAACTTATATGTATATAAGCAAGTCACGGAAATGCCTTTTTTTTTTGTGCGGTGTTTGCAGCCTGTTTCTCCAACCATCTTTCAGTGATGTGGTGATGTTGTTTTTTCACATTGTCTTTCTGATTTAAAAAGAATAAAATATTTTCCAAACCATTGTTTTCCCCTATATTTGTGATTATAATTTTTTTTCTTCCTCGTTCAGAATTAAAATAAACTTACACCAGACATACACTGCAAATATAAGTGAAATAAAAACCTTTATCTGAAATGAATACAGGCTTTACAAAAGTTAGTTGAGAAACAAATAGAAAATTCGTTCAGAACCAGACATTATAAACTACGTTTCCCATAATTCCTACCGTTCTACTTTAACCAATGATCGTTCACATACGTGCTTACGTCACGTAGAGCGACAGAAAATTGTCAAGATGGTGCTTGAAAGTACCATGGTTTGGTAAGAAAAAATACTTTATATTCTTCAAACATCAGATATAGTTTGACAAACGTGATTTATTTGAATTACGATTCAATTATGTGGGAAATTATGTTTATTGGGGGTTAGAGAACGGTCACGTTGAGCAAAAGGACAGTTGTGCAGTTTTCCTTAGTCATGATGGAACATTGATCCTGTAAACAGCTTCTTTGTGTTGACATGTTATGAGAGAACACGTTAGGAAGCGATTGTCAGGTTGTCATTTTATGAAATCAGTTTCTGTGTAAATCATAAATGTGTTTGGTCAAGTTCCTTTGTGATAATCTAGGTTTTTGTGTAAGAAACTGTCAAGACAGGATTTCAAATCCTTGCAGTTTGTGTACTGAAACGCTTTACTCGTGAATATTGACATATTCAATAGAACACTTGCGTGGAGAATTAGGCTTCGTTCGATCATTTGCAGTTTCATGTTTGGACAGGATTGTTGAGTGGACATCACAGTGTAAGTGTATTATTTCTAGTGTGGACAACAGTGAGTATATGCGCAATGGAGACTTCTTACCTACCAGACTTCAGGCCCAGCAAGACGCAGTCAACATCATCTGCCATTCAAAGACTCGCAGTAACCCCGAGAACAACGTGGGGCTCATCACTCTGGCCAAGTAGGATGGAGATTTTATTTAGCCTATTTGTTTTATTAACTGGTACAAATGTAACAAAATCTATAGACGACACATACAGGAGATTCACTGTGTGTGTGTGTGTGTGTGTTTTAGTAACTGTGAGGTCCTGACCACGCTGACCCCTGACACGGGCAGGATCCTGTCAAAGCTTCACGCTGTTCAGCCCAGAGGAGTCATCAGCTTCTGTACTGGCATCAGAGTAGCACATGTGAGTCCGTTGGATCATAACTTGTACTTATTTATTTTATTTAATTATCTTGAATGTATTTATTTCTTAATATCTGCTTTGTATGCATATTTCAGTTTTGGTCCATAAAGTCCACACTTTATCATTTACATGACCAGTTTTCTGCCCTCTGCCTGAGCCTCATGTGTTGAATTTGGCTACTGTAGCTTTTCAGCCTTATATCATCTGGACATATTTTGCTATGACCTATTTGAATGTGAAAGGGTATTAAATTAAACCTGGGAAGGTTAATGCAAATTTGGAGTTATTTTGACAACTTCATTTTTGGACTAGTGAGGAACTGGACATTTTAACAGGATTTTTACATATGACATTTTACTGTTTTATTTCAAAAGATTGAAAATAGTACAATTTAAAATGTGTTAGAAATGTTTTTAGAGAAGGGTGCATATTTCAGTATTTGTAATTTAAAATTTAAATGTTTAATTTATTGTCTTGCTTGCCGTTTTATTTATGTATATATATATATATATATATATATATGAGAAGAGTTCAGGTGCAAAAGCCTCTATAAGTGCCGTCTGAAATCTTCTTCTAAAATGATAATTTTTATCAGGCTCCTATGTGTAGGTTCAGTAATTTCACATTAATGGCAATGCATGGGTTCTTTTCATTGCTATTAAAGCGAAATAAATGAACATAAACATAGGAGCCGGTGTGTGTATATATATATACACACACTGGAATTAGATGCAAAAAAATAAGAAATCAGGAAGGGGGCCAACACTTTTTCACACCACTGTATATATATATATATATATACACACACACACTCTCTCTCTCTAATTCCACTTATTCCATCTGTCACTGTCACTTTTGAATAATTTAATGTGTCCTTGCTGAATTAAAGTATACATTTTTCTTTTTTTAAATCATACTTACCCCAAACATTTTAATGGTAGTGTACCACCATTTATTTTTTCTTTTTCAAAATGTCATATAATTTAAATTGTGTAATATTTAGTTATGCTTCCCATTCTCTCTGCTCCTTCTGTTTCACAGCTGGCATTGAAACACAGACAGGGAAAGAACCATAAGATGAAGATCATTGCCTTTGTGGGAAGCCCTGTGGAGGACCAGGAGAAAGATGCAAGTTATTTTTGTCTTAATGTATCTTGAGTCTATATTTACAGAAGGTCAATACAATGGTATCACCTGCTCATTTGTGCCTCCAACCTGTCTCACTCAGTTGGTGAAGATGGCAAAACGTTTGAAGAAGGAAAAAGTCAGTGTTGACATCATTAACTTTGGAGAAGAGGTATTTATCACACAGTCCTCCAGAATGTACTTTTTAGTGTAATTTTACTCTCCGCACCATTCAGTTTTTGCCCTTTTGCGTTGCAGGAAGTCAACACGGATAAGCTGACCGTGTTTGTGAACACCCTAAATGGAAAAGAGGGTGTAGGCTCTCACCTGGTAACGGTGCCTCCTGGCCCGAGCCTGGCAGATGCTCTTCTGTCCTCTCCTATCATGGCTGGTGAGGGTGGCACCATTATGGGCCTGGATGCCAGTGACTTTGAGTTTGGAGTGGATCCCAGCGCAGACCCTGAGCTCGCTCTGGTGAGTAGCACACAGGTTTTATAGGACAAACTTCTTGGCTAAAGATTTTCCACATGATAAATGTCTGTTTTTCCATGCGTCTTTGTTCCAGGCTCTGCGTGTGTCGATGGAGGAGCAGAGACAGAGGCAGGAGGAGGAGGCTCGCCGGGCAACAGTGGCTTCAGCTGCAGAGGCTGGAGTCTCATCACCCACTGCAGACGGTGAGTTTAGATGATTATTGAAGACTAGATGGGTTTTCTGGACACCTAGACTAGGGGTTCCTTAAAGCAAAAAAGTTTGTGGAGTGATATACACTGTAGTTCAGAATTTTGGGATTTAAAGAAATCTCTTATGTTCAGAAATACAGTAAAATCAGTAATATTGTGAAATATTAAAATTTCAAATAATTTCACATTTATTCCTGTGATGCAAAGCTGAATTTTCAGCATCATTACCGCAGTCTTCAGGGTCACGTTATTCCTCAGAAATCATTCTAACATGCTGATTTGCTCAAGAAACATTTCTTCTTATCATTATCAGTGTTTCATGGGAATTCTGTTTAATATGACCTGAGGTCTTCTGTGCTTCTGTTAGAGTCTGAAAATGCTCTGCTAAAGATATCGGCGGCTCCTGTTCTGCCTGATTTCAACCGCATGACGGAGGATGAACAGATCGCGTACGCCCTACAAATGTCCATGCAAGGAGGAGGTCTGTCTCTCTACTCTTCAAAAATTCTTATTCTTCATCGTCTTAATTAGTTG